CACACACACACACACACACACACACACACACACACACACACACACACACACACACGAAGGCAAGCTGCACTTTATTCATATTTATATTTACAGTCATTTATGAGAGACGTAAACAGGGAGAATAGAAATGTCTTGAAAGCTTTACAAACGTGTTCCCACATGATAAAAACCCTCATAAAAAATCGACAGCAGCTGCTACCAAAGAGCTCACACACATTACACAAACATTACACACCCAGCATGACAAAGCATCCTTGGACTAGCCAGCACCAACAAGCGATTACTCTATGTGCGCACTTCATCCACATAAATCCATAGATTGATCTCCTCCATGGTTGTTTGGGGCCAAATGTAGAATGCTGTGAAAATACCACACATAGAGTAATTTTTTTCCCTTCCAGTGTAGGCCTCCGCTGGATTCCTGACCTGCAAATTGGCAAATTAAATTGTGTGCGGTGAAAAACAGAGGAACACAGCCCTGTTAAACTAACCACAACATAAAGTATCCTATCATTAACAGAAAAAACAGGCTTGAGCTTCCTCCGTGACGAGAACCACACAAGCTGGGAAATTCCCTGGCCGAGGGGGGAAGGGGAAAGGATGAAATAGGATCCATATGGAGGTGACAGGTGAGAGGGCACGACTCACAGACCGGGAATCTCACTCTGCATTCCTCTGGCTTGACGGGAAACAGGATAATTGCTCTTCCAGCGTAGTAAACTCATGCGCATGCATATTGGAACACCAGACCACATGACCAAGCTTCCTTTTCCCAGTATCCATTCCTCCGTTGTGAGTCAGCTGACCACAACATGACTCGTTCATCTCCTCCTTTGATCTTTCCATCCTGAAGATGCCAACGGAAGTGGCTGAAAGGTCTGAGTCACATTCACTTCTCACCCTGATTTCACCGTAAAACCCTCCTCTTCCCCCTCGCTCACTACAACAACATCCACATTTTGATCCAGCTGTCATCAATCCAGCATCCACCTACACAATATAAGCACTTGTTTTTACTCACTCTGCCTTTTACCTCCCACCTCATTCACTTTCCTCCATCCGTCTATCCTGAGATGAATAAACAGCCCCAGCATTTCAAGGAATATCTCCTGCTCTCAATCCAACCTCCTGACCAACGTAGATCCCTAATCCTCACCAGCCACCTCACTGGAGGAAAGCTCTGCTATAAAGACAGCGAGACTGAAAATATCTCTCCTCTCCTCGCTCTGATGCACTCTCCGTTTCTCTTCCTTCTTCTCTCTCTCGCTCTATCTCTCTCACTCTGTTTACAACTGAAGAGCAGCTTTAGAGACATGAGGCATAGTGAAACTGGTTCCCTGTAGATTATGAAGTCATGATGACCGGGGCATGCTGATCCAGTCATTACACCTTATGTTATGGGTTTATCCAAATAAACTGACTTCTCTGAAAATCAGTTGCATTTATATTTGTTTAGGAAACAAGAACAAGAAGTGAAATTGAAGCAGGAGAGTGACATTTTTAGAAATGCACTCACTGGTATTCCTCGCTCGATTTAACCCCTTAATTCCATGTTTTCTAACAGCTCCGGAGACCTGATGCCAAAATTTGGATTAACTTTGGGCGTGTTGTCATGTGCAAAGATGGAGAGGAGAAAGCAAAACAAGACCGCTGATCACTGAAGAAAGTCCCACAAAATTACCTTCTGGTCAGCTGGGCCTCCTGGGCCTGCTTGGGTTCTCTCAGTGTACTCCAGCTTCCTCCCACAGTTCAAAGAAGTGTATGTCAGATTGACTGGTGATTCAGACCTATCCATAGTAGCCTAGTGCCATCTGGAATAACACCTACTAGGTTAAATAGGAGGATGGATGACACATTACTACCTCTGCCTAATCACAGGTCACCAGTATGTGTGTTTGTGTGTGTGTAGTCCTGCTTGTCTGCTTCCTGTGTGTCTACTGCTTGATACTCAAGAATGGTTTTGTTTTTAGACTTTGTATTTCTTGGAATTCCTGTAAGTGTCATGGTCCCTGGGTCACTGACACAGGACTTTTGAGTTTTAGGATTGTCTAGTTTTGACTGTCTTTGTATTACAGTTCTGTCTTGAGTATTGTTGACATTCTGTTTTTTTGTTCTGGTGTTATAGTTATGTTACAGTTATCTGTGCATTAAGTTAATGGGAGGTTGTTTGTGCTGTTTGTGCCCCATTCTGTCCCCTCAGGCTTATCTCCACATTCTTCTGTTTCTGTGTCTATCTTGTATCTCTTAGTCTTGCTCTCAGTAATCATTACTTCCTGTTTTATTTGGATAGTCTCTTCTCAGTTCTGTTCAGTTTGTTCAATTTGACCCATTCATTCAGTGAAACAGATCTTGCGGGGGCTACACAGTTGCTTCTACAGAGTGGCACTTGCTCCTATGTACTTCCACCTGATTAATTCTAAGTTTATAAGATTTCATTAGTTTCTTGGAAGTCATAATCACACACTAGTCAATGTATATTTATGAGTACAATATAATTTGTTTTCTATTAAATAACCTCAAAAAAAAATGACTGACAGTATCTTGAAGAAACATAGCAAAAATAAAACCTTTGCTGATACTCAGTAATGTGGAAATTCTACTAAACACTAGATTGAATTTTCTCTGATTTTAATTATTTTAACTCACATGTCACGTCAATCTCCCAGTCCTCCTTACTCTACACTGTGTTCCACTATAATTTAGAATACATTTTTAAAATGGTATCAATAATGTATAAAGCCCTACATGGGCAGGCTCCTGCTTATATATAGCAGAGCTACTGAGACCTTATAACTGCAGCCAACCTCACACATTATCTTCGAAATGTTCCATGCTCTTATTTAAAAACCAGAGGTGATGTTGTTGCTGCTTTGGAGCAGCCTTCCTCGGCCTATCTTTGCTAAATCTATGGTTTGTTTAACAGTAAATGTCTCCTGACAACACTTTATAATAGGCTAGCTTTTCCTTAATCTTTCTTCCATTATCTGTGGCCTTTTGTTCTTCTGATGTTTATATTGGAGTGCTTGTGCAGGAATGAATGAAAGACTGTGTGTTTAGACTCAGTTTACATGTATGAATATGTACAATTATGGTTAATGTGTTTTCATCCAAACTTTGAAGCACTTTGTAACTATGTTTTAAAATGTGCTTTACAAGCCTATTATTATTATTATTATTATTATTATTAAATTGGCAGCTGCCACATGAAAAATAAACGGCAGCACTTAGCATTAACATAATTAACTGGAATTAATATCTGTATTTTACAGCTTTGTGTGATTTTTGACAGCATTCATCTCTTGTAATCTCTTGTTTTATTTGCAAGTGTTGCATTTTACTGTTATAATTTTAACCAGCTCATTACTGGTTAAATGCAAAGAAAGCTCAGCTGAGCTGAACTTCCTTTATACGCTTACACACACCATAGAATAGAATAGTCGAGCATTAAGCAGCTAAGAATTCGAACAATTCAGACCTTCAGAAACAGGTTAGTATTCAAACACATGTAAAAGAAGGAGCGTACCTAGTGGGTGTGTTAAAAAACAAACAAACATTTATATGTCAGTGTAATCCGTTATTGCTGCCACCAAGTGGCTGAAAATTTGTGCTGAAAATTCAAAGTGAGCTGTGGCTGCTGGTGAAGGTGGCGTGGGTGTGGAAAGGATAAACGGGGGTGAAAAGGACAGCGTCATTGAACAATGACAGGATGGATGAATATGGGGTGTCAGCACAGGCAGAGGTGAAGATGGGTTGTTGACATGTTCTTTCCTCTCCACATGTCATTTGAAGAGAAATGGATGAATACATTAAAAGAATAGTTGAGTAACAGGCACCGATATGGGGTTACTGTATGTCTCTGTGCACTGAAAATGGATTTGTATTATATATGAACAGACATCAAACACAATTTAAGGCCAGTGGCCAAGGTAACAAGAGTAAAAAAAAACCCCAACATATAAGAACCCAGAGTTACGCAACTATGCTTATCGAGTAGTATAAAGGGTTCAGACATCCTTGGTAACAATCACTATCAAAGAAAATTACAGGATTACATAACTCACCTCCATCAAAACTCACATGTAATATTCCCTAGGGATCGTAAATGGATATATTTACTTATACTTATGTTTTACATTAAAAGTAAATTGACATTCATGCAGACCTTCAGTTCTGTAGCATCTTTTTAATTTCAGCCACACGCACAACTCTCATGACAGCAGCAAAAGAGACGACCAATATTAAATTTTTTTAAACATGTTTTCAATGATAAGTTGTGATGTGAGGCTGATGAAGACAATATGTCAGCCAGTTGCTACGTCTTCACGTAGGTGTAATATGAGGTATTATTTGGTAACACTGAGTGGGTGATTGGGTTACAGAGGTGGGCTTTTCTATGCGGAATGAGATACTGCCTGGGCACACACACACATTTGCACACACAAACCTCATTTTTCTTCTCTTTATTTTATTGCAGCCAGCTCCCTAACAACCTGACTCACCTCCCTAGTTCCAAAGGCCCCATGTCCTTCAGAGAAATCCACATGTATTCATCATTTCGCAGGAAGATGAAAGATTTCAAAGCCAGAGATTTCTTGTGTGAAAGGTGCTTTTATTCAAGTCTTAATATAAAAAACATGCAATTAGATATTTCTTTTTGAAGACACTACAAAACCAACATTAGTTAAAAAAAAACTGCCTTTTCCAAACCAGTTCTGACACTATAAGAGTTGCATTTAAATTTTAATGTACAGCAATACTATGGTACAGCTTTCCTAAATGCCCATGGAAGTATTACTATTACCAGCAAGACATTATTGATTGATTTTTAAACATTTATATTTATAAACAACTATATCAATTTACTGAAAGAATTTTGTTCAGTAGAATAAAAATATATGCTACTTTCTTAAACACCTTGATATTTTTCTCTGTTATTCAGATAGAAAAACAATTAAATCCGCTCCATCGCTTCACATTGAATGAATGAAAAACATCAGATCAACTCTGATTATCTTCAGTTTAACATTGAGTTGTCATAGCAACAGTTCCTGGCACTGCATCTTTTATCAAGTATTTAAATGCTCAGTTGAACCTTTATTAGTTGCAAACTGCAGTGTTTCTACAGTTTGACGAATGTGGCTTGTAGCATTTGAGCTTGTGACACTGAACCAAACCAAAATGATGAATCACAAATTATATGAGTGACACCTTTTAGCAATTTTATCCATCCTTAATAAAAAGAGAGTTTGCAGCCATGATTGCAGGTAGGGATGAATACTGACAAAGGTCATTCCAGAAGTGGAGGACAATTTAGGCTCCAACAACAGCAAAATAAATAAATAAACAAATACATATTTAATACATACATAAAATGGATTTAAGAAATGTGTATAATTGAACGACATAAAAACACATAAGTGGATTTATACTTTTATGTTTTATCTTGTCTTATAGCAGCGGCCCCCAACCCCCAGGCCACGGACCGGTACCAGGCCGTGAGAGTTGAGGTTCGGGTATGAAATTGATGGTTTTCAGGGTTTTTATTGTTATTTTTTTAATCGTTTTTATCGTTAACTCTGTTTCCCTGGGACTTTTCCAGTGTATTATGTATTTTTGTTACTGGTACTGGTTTTATTTTGTTGTATTTATCTGCGACACCTTAAAGGCCGGTCCATGAAAATATTGTCAGACATAAACCGGTCCGTGGCGCAAAAAAGGCTGCGGCCTTATAGGAAAACACAATCTGGTTATCAAGAAGTTGGGACAAGAGAAAAATACCAAATTCACAGGAAGGGAAGGTCCTGTCCTACAATTTTGAAAGATCCCAAGAAGCTTGAATAGCTACTGATGTGATTATTGATCGTCTCTTGGAGATTTCTGATTGAATTTCTGTGTGTGTGAGGGAGCTTTACTCTAGAGGTTTTATTATCTCTGAATCTGATGAGTTAAATGAGTTAAATAGTTAGTCAGTTAATCTTTCATGAGATCATTTTTTTTTAGTTGAGTGAATAAACATTTTCCTAGGTGAAAAACAAAAAAAGTACATCCAGACCAGTGTTAGTAGTCACAGATGTACAGTAGCGACTGAAATGCAGTTACATAATGTTTAACACACAAGCACACACTGCACTAGTGCATAAACGCAACAAGCCACAGACAAATGTTAGTAAGTTGGCCACCGCTTCCTCTGTGGCTAATGAGAGAAGCTGACGTCAGATCTGCTGAGGAGACCACAGCTTCACTTCTGTTTTATTTTCCTGGCTTTGAAAGACAGTGAGGAGGATGAGACGTTAAGAGTTACTTTCAAAACACATTTGCAGCATTTTCAGAACTGAAAATGAAGCATTCTTTGGTTGTTAAGCATAAAAAACAAACAATACAGAATGTAGTCACAAACTTCCTCATCCTATCCAGTCTTTGCATGTAAACTCTTCGCTTGACAAGTCTCTGCAACCGCGCAGAAACCAAGCACGCGTGCAAACAGCCACTTCCTCCTCAGATGAAGCAGAACACGGTGTACCTTAGATCACACGAGAAACATCTTAGCAGACACGAACACCAGGCCTTGATTTAGATGCTTTGCGGTTTTAACCAAAATTAGGATCCAAGTAACACAAAACTAGAAACTGATGACGCAGAGGCTTTCTAAATGTAACTAACCATGTCTTTGAAGTAGCTTACTGATACGCTTTTAAGTATTTCCCTTTTTTATCTAGTTTTATATTGAATTATTATTGCTCATTAATGTAAAATTTGTAGTTGACTGAAGAGGAGCTATTTTGTATTTGACTACAATGGTTTGTTAAATTAGATGCATTTATATATGTTCTCTAAACCAGTATCAAAACAGCTGCTGTGAAAACACCAAAATCAGTCGCTTCAGTACAGGTATCAGTTTTTAGATCATTTAGTGTATGACCAAATATATATTTCCAGTTTTTCATATACTTTGTGTGCAAAGTAATTAAAGCAACTTCATCTCTCTCCTGTTTTTATACTGCTGGGTCAGTCTCAGGAGTTTGGAAAGAAATTACTGGACTTCGTTAAATTTGGAGATGGTGGAGAATCTCAGGGACTTAATCCATAGTGGGATTAAGTATTGATCATGAGCCAAGGTGTGGAAAAAGGTGTGGGTCATTATTAGCAGAGGTTTTGGGCGTAACCGTCGTGATACCTTGCCTCACCCTATAATGTGACCGATTGAGATCACGTGAGTCGAGGTTGAAGCGTCTGGGAAGGGATCTCAAAACTGCACCGCAGATCACAGACAATTGGTGTTGTAAGCCACCTCTTTTGTTCAAAGATCATTCACTCCTCTTTCAAACCATCTGTCTTCTCTGTCCAAAAAGTGAGCACTGGCATCCTCGAAATAATGACCTTTGACCTTTAGATGCAGATGTCCAGCTGAGTCGTGTCCAGTCGGGGTGGCTCTTCTACGTTGTGCTATGCATTTATGGAGTGGCTGGTTGGTTTCTCTAGTGCAGAAGTCTGAGCACTCCTCACTGCACTGCTTAAAGAAGTCCAATCTCTTTCTTTCCAAGCTCATTAGACTACCATGATCAGGATGGGTGAGAACCTACACAGACATTTAGATGGGGTCAGGTTGATCTGTGAAGTTCAGAATAGGGAAGAACGGTGATACTTTGCATAAACAACATGAACAACATCCTTTACGCCTTGTATTTGTGCTTCAGGTGTAATGGTGGGGCAGATATTGGCACACTTTGAGCATTGTTTAAACACCACAGCCACCACAGAGTATTTTTGTTGACCATGTCCATCTCAGTGGGGCCACAGTGTACCCATCTTCTGATGCCAGTTTCCAGCAGGATAATGCAACATGTCCCAAAGCTTAAATGATCTCAAACTGGTTTCTTGAACATAGTAATGGATTCACTGTATTTAAATAGCCTCCACAGTCACCAGATCTCAATCTAATAGAGCATCTTTGGGATGTGGAGGAACAGGAGATTCACATCATGGATGTGCAGCTGACATAGTTTCAAATCCCCTTTTTTTGCAAATACTTCTTACTTTAATAACTAACAGTATAATGTGATAAAAGCGAATAAATTGACTGACAATTTATTGATTGATTGATTGTATTGACGGGTGTGACTTCTTGAAACTGCACCAATTTTCTTGAAATGACCTCCAAGACAGAAACTTGAACCTATTTTCTTAATACTGATTTTTTTTTATGCCATAAAAAGTAACTGTGCAGAAAGGAGACCATCTTCCATTTGTGGTAAAACGATGATCACATGTCCACTGTCACATATAAGCATTTCTACGTAGGTTGTTTATGCACCTGCACTTCTGCTGTCCAGTGCTCCGTCTTATTTGCGATGTTCAGGATGTTGTGTTTATGTGTTTTCTTTTTTTGCTTTGCATCCATAATTTTGCCACAAGTAATGAGCTATATCACAGAAAAACAGCCGCTTTACCTCCCTGAGAGCATCAACTGGATTTCATGAGCACAGTAATAGATTTTTATTAAATTGTGAACTCAAAATCAGCAGGGGGCAGCACATACACAGACACAAACACACGCACGAATATTTTCTTTAACCGTGAACCATTATGTTCCACATCAAGGTTTACTGATGGATTTAATTTTTTCTTCGTTGTTACACTCTGCTCACTCAGTAGTTCCTTCATGCATTCACACTCTGATAAACAGCTTTTATAACTTCAAGGCACGTGTGTAAAATGATTAATCAGGCTCTCAGTCTGCAAATGTTCTGCTTGTCTGTTGTGTTTTGCTTCATTTAAAAGAAAAAAGCAAGCACTCAAAAATTAATTTTGCCGTTGCATCAATATAATTGCTTTGATCCCATGATGAGCAGCAGACTAAAGTGTCCTTTTAGTTAACGTCTGCATGCGTCTGGCACTTCTTTGGGTACATAGAAAGGCTGCAGTAGTCTGCCAGGATGCGGTCCACATTAACCGCCTGTTCTCATCTTATTCTGTGAGAGGAGAGAGATGGTTTAAAATGATCAATAAAGATCCACAGCAAATGAGGTATGAAATCAAATAATGTGTTTAAGTCAAGTCGGGTCGTACTTTCTTGGCTTCGTCCACACACTGCATGTAGGCAGCGGCAATGCGCGAGCAGCACAGAGTCTTTCCCGTGTTCTCCTTGTAGCATTTTAATATCTGACTCTGCAAGTCTCCACACACTGGGTGGGTGTTAAAACGACTGAGAGAGAGATGAAGAAAATAATATTAAATAACATTTGCCTCATTCTTATGATTCAAACTTAACTTACATCAAATAAAAGCTGTAATAAGGCTTACATGACACTACACATAAACAAATTAAAGTGTTCTGACTTACGTAAAACGGCTGAGAGTCTCTTCTTTGCCCTTCCGGAAGCTCTCGACAGAGACTTTGTAAAACTCTGCACACTGCCAAAGTGGTAAAAAACACACACATTACCCTCAACATAACATATCACAACTGCTTCAACAAAATCCCACAAAAGAAATTCAGGACGTGACGGCTCCTCAGTGGCCAAAATTTGCATTTAAAGACCCCGAAAACATGTTTTAGCTCAACTTCACGGTTCTATCACTGGTGTCAGCTGTAAAAGGTGGTGCTACATGTGTTTAGGCTCTAATTAGGATCCAGGCATGTTGGAATTAAAGCGTGATGACATTTGTTAAGGTGTTTGATCATGTACCTATGGCACTGTTAATAAAATGAAAACAAAGCGCAGCATACTGCTGTATCTTGGATTGGCACATGGGTGCATTTACAATGCAATTTGATACCTGAAGAAAGTAATTAACAGTTTCAAATAGTTCCAGATATACTGCTGAAAAATTAAAGGATCACTTAATAATTTTAACATCAAGCCCAGAAAGGATTGACAATTTGATCATTTTGGTTTCCACTAACTGGTGTTGTTTCATTTCTTTCTCCACAAATTATCCAGTGTGCAGTACTGTGCAAAAGTCTTTTTTGTTAGGAAAATGGGAAATAGCCAAAACGTGCAGATATACATGGAAAACAAAGTTGTATAATTCTAACAACTGTCCTCAGGAATCGCTCTGTAAATTTCTTGAAAGACATTCAAACCTCTTCTTTGGATCCTGGCCTCTTTTTATTCTGTTCTCTTTCAAGATGACCCCACACTGCTTTAATAATGTTCAGGTCTGGGCTCTTGGGGGGGCAATCCATGAGTGCTAGTCATTGCATGTTTTGTGCAGTGCCTTTGGAATCATTTTCATGCTGAAAAGTCACTTTCCAGATGATACTAGATGGTGGATCAAAATCTGAACGTACTTTTCTGCGTTCATAATTCCATCAGTTTTGACAAAAATCCCCAACACCACTGACTGAAATGCAGCTCCAAGTGATGACAGAGCAGTCAGTCACCGTTGAACCTCTCTTCTGACCCCTGCTGTACAGATTGATAATCACTTGAAAACAAAAACGTCATTCAAATCTGGGTTCATCACTACATAAGACCTGCTGCTACTGATTTTCAGCCCATTATCTTGTGTAAAGGTAATGGGCTGAATGACATAAAGACCTGGATGGCCGCTAACTTTCTGCTTCTTAATGCAGATAAAACTGAGGTAATTGTACTCGGTCCTGAAAAGCTTAGAAATATGGTATCTAACCAGATTCTTACTCTGGATGGCATTACCTTGGCCTCCAGTAACGCTGCGAGGAACCTTGGAGTCATTTTTGACCAGGATATGTCCTTCAATGCACATATTAAACAAATATGTAAGACTGCTTTCTTCCATTTGCGCAACATCTCTAAAATTAGAAATATCCTGTCTCAGAGTGACGCTGAAAAACTAGTTCATGCATTTATTACTTCCAGGCTGGACTACTGCAATTCATTATTATCAGGATGTCCAAAAAACTCCCCGAAAAGCCTTCAACTAATCCAAAATGCTGCAGCAAGAGTCCTGACAGGGACTAGAAAGAGAGAGCATATTTCTCCTGTTTTGGCTTCCCTTCATTGGCTTCCTGTTAAATCCAGAATTTAATTCAAAATCCTGCTCCTCACATACAAGGTCTTAAATAATCAGGCCCCATCTTATCTTAATGACCTTGTAGTACCATATCACCCTATTAGAGCACTTCGCTCTCACACTGCAGGCCTACTTGTTGTTCCTAGAGTATTTAAAAGTAGAATGGGAGGCAGAGCCTTCAGTTTTCAGGCCCCTCTTCTGTGGAACCAGCTTCCAGTTTGGATTCGGGGGACAGACACTATCTCTACTTTTAAGATTAGGCTTAAAACTTTCCTTTTTGCTAAAGCATATAGTTAGGGCTGGACCAGGTGACCCTGAATCCTCCCTTAGTTATGCTGCAACAGGCATAGGCTGCCGGGGATTCCCATGATGCATTGAGTTTTTCCTTTTCAGTCACCTTTCTCACTCACTATGTGTTAATAGACCTCTCTGCATCGAATCATGTCTGTTATTAATCTCTGTCTCTCTTCCACAGCATGTCTTTTATCCTGTCTTCCTTCTCTCACCCCAACCGGTCGCAGCAGATGGCCCCGCCCCTCCCTGAGACTGGTTCTGCTGGAAGTTTCTTCCTGTTAAAAGGGAGTTTTTCCTTCCCACTTTAGTTGTTGGGTTTTCTCTGTATCTATTATTGTACGATCTACTGTACAATATAAAGCGCCTTGAGATGACTGTTGTTGTGATTTGGTGCTATATAAATAAAATTGAATTGAATTGAATTAATTCAGCTTATCGTTTTCTCCCTGTTTTCCTGCCTTAAAAATAGCTTCTTGACAGCCACCAGAGAGACCATTTCTAACACGGCTTCAGTGAACAGCAGACGGCTGAAAGGCCAAATGAAACTCAGGTCCTGTGTCAGGTCTTTGCTGGATTTCCCCCCCCCCCCATATCTTAATTACATGACGTTCAGATTTTGATCATTTGCTGTAGATACTTTTTCGGCCTACAAAATCTTTTGTCCCCAATGTCTCTGGTTACCTTTAATACTTTGAAGGACACACTGAGATTACACAAGTTACAAGATAGTTTGGCTCCTTAGAAGAAAAATATAATAAAGGGTGACTCAAGACTTTTGCTCAGTACCATATGTCAGTAAAGATTTTCAAGTTGAACAATTCATTTATCAAGATCTGATGTCTGATTGTGGCCTAGATTTTGGAGTAATATATACATCACATTAGATTAGATTACAACTGGAATTTTTCAAAACTAGTTAAAAAGCCAGTTAGACATACACGTTGTCTTTTGTTTACAGTCTTTTCCCCCCTTGGCCACTCGACACATCTCTAGTAAAACATAGTCTCGCTTTAAACCTGTAAGAACTTTAAACATATAAGAACTACTTCAAGTCTCAAAAATGTTAACTAACCTTTGTATCGAGTTTTGCAAGATGTTCCTTGTAGAGAGTGTCTCGTTTCTTCAGCTCTTTCTCCTTCTCCTCCAGCTGATGAGCCTGCGATAATTTAACATTCATCGAAGATATCAGCACAGCTCTGAAAACGTCATATTGAAATTTTGTAGAGGCTGACACTCAATTTACATGCGGTTTTTCAGGGTCAATTATTCCTGTTTTTCAAAGTTACAGCTGCAACTCATGTCTGTGATTTGCAGCTGTTTGAGAGTGAGGCATGCATGCATGCATCTCTATCGTCCTACCTTCAGCTCCATCCACTGAAACAACAACGCGGCAAGAAAGAAAAAGAAGCACATTAAAAGGAGGAAAGAGTTTTGTATTTACAGCAGAGTTCCTCACATATTCAGAGTCAAGCGTGTCTTCCTTTGCTTACATAAAGCTGCACCATGACCTTCTCATCTTCCGTCTTCATTCGCTCTTTCATGATAGTGTCTGTGAGCTTCTCCGTGCTCGCCGCCCTCTCAGCCTCCAGAATCTTCTTCACCTGCTCCTCCACCCGAGCCCGAGCTGCTGCCCTCGCCTCAGCTCGAACCTGCACCCTCATCTCCTCCAACCTTCACATGCACAAAGTGCATCTTTTAAAGAACTTAGAGTTGATTAATCGATAAGCTGATCAACTGAGAATGCGTCAGCAGCAACTGCTCAAGTGTACAGATATCCTGGGATAATTGCACTTAATTAATAAGAATATATTCTCTGACTGGGGAGGGGCTGTAGATCTAGTACACTCTGCTTCTGTATGTGTAAGACACGGATTGATACAGTTCAAGGTGTTACACAGACTCCACTTGTCAAGGGAGAAACTGGCAAGAATGTACCAGGGGGCCGATCCGACCTGCCCCAGATGTAAACAGGTGCCAGCCAACTTATGCCACATGTTCTGGTCTTGTTCCAGGCTGAAAGACTTTTGGGCTAACATCTTTAGAACATTCTCATTCATTTATAATAAAGATATAGAACCAATGCCTCTGACAGCCATCTTTGGTGTGGCACCGAGGGAAACAGCCTCTCAAAAGAAGGCAATAGCATTCACCTCATTTTTGGCTAGGAGATTGATTCTATTCAACTGGATAAAGGCAACACCGCCATCCCATAAACGCTGGGTGGAGGAGGTGATGGCACACCTCAAATTAGAACATCTCAGATTTACTATACAGGGCAACACCAAGAAATTCTTTAAGGTCTGGCAGCCTTTCATTTCCTATTTTGAAGATGAGTTTCCGTCCACTCCATAACTGGCAACTCCCCCCCCCCCTTTATTTATTTATTTATTCTCTGTCTGGGTATAGTTTGTCTTACACTGTGTTGTAGGAATTGAGTTCGAGCTTTTCTGTATGAATGATATGCTTTCTGAAAACTCAATAAAAACACTTTGATTAAAAAAAATAAGAATATATTCTCTGATATTCAAAGTTTTGATTGCAGTTTAACTTTAAAATCTTTGTTATCGCTATTTAAATATTATATTTATTATTGATTTATGGCATTTTTGCTTAAAAAATGAATAAATTAGAATGTTTTCCTATTAAATAGAATTAGTGACTAAATAATTAATGTGGCATCTTGAGCAGAAATGTGTGCATCGGTACAGATCGACTACAAACCTCCACAGTTGTGTTTTTATCTTATCAGAAGGGACAAATGAGACAGCAAGATTCAAAACTCAGTAAAACATTCAGTCTTGTGTCCTTACTGCCTCTGTAGCTCCTGCCTCTTCTGGTCGATCTCCTCCTTCAGACTTCTCTGTATCTCCTCTTTGAGCTTCTGCCTCAACTCGTCTTCCGACACTTGAGAAGAAACAGACAAAGCAATGATTGCAAACATGTTAAATCTACTGATTAAATTTGATCTCCTACTAAAAGCCTGAAACTCTTTCCAAATGAAAGCCTCAAACATAACTTGAACATCACTGCTTTAGAACGCTGAAATGAAACTTCTACCAGAAATAATGGTCTGAAATAATGGTTACACATTGGTAATAAGAAAAGCAACAAATGGTGTGTCCCTGTGTACTTATTTTTCTGATATGAGTGCTTGATCTTCTTCACAGAGTCAGTATAGTAAGAAGCAAGGAAACGGAGAACCTCACTGGGAGGCAAATCTGCTGAGGTGGTAGGTGGCGTGTTCTGGCACACACTACAGTTCGGGTCAATTCCACTGAATGCTCTGCCTCAGAGATTTCCGGATGTTACACTGTAACTCTGTAATGTATTTTAGGCTTGGAAACTTCAAACTGCTGCTTTCAGCTCTTGTTAACTGAAATGATCCTGCAGACAATAGACGGAAATGCTCATTCTCAAATCTTAATCCCACCTTAGAGACAAGTGGTTTATTATTGTTATTATTACACTTTTTGGATGCTTCATCAGCTGTATCTCTCTCATTTCCTCAGAGTCATGTGATTTGGACTTCAATTCTGCATACTTGTGTATCTGACTGAGCAACATTATAAGGTTTGTCCTATTAACCTCCATGTCCTTAGCCACAGCATGCACTTCAAAGCATCACAAGAGCTAATTGGAAATGCCAAAAGATTAGGATGGTTCAGACTCACCTGTCACAGGTGGAGGTGGTGTTGTGACAACAGGTACTTCCTTCTCATCAAAAGGAGGCACAGATGGGTTCTTGGGGGACTCCTCGGTTGGTGGCAGTGGAGCTAGAGGTGGGTGAGTTGGGGCAACAGCTTGCTCCACACAGTGACAAGATGGAGATGTTTCTTCAAAAGAGAGCATTGGAGGTGCTAGAGCGTCCTCTGGAGGAGGTGGAGATTGAGCACATGGAGGCTCTGGATCAATAGCTGGAACCACGACTGGTGCCTCCACTTGACACCGCTGGTTCACTTCCTCCACTGGTCCAGATGGAGTAGATTCAACCGTGGGTGGAAGTTGGACTGTTTCTACTGGTGGAGGTGATGGGGTAACAGATTCTAGAGGTTCAACAGATGGAGTGACAGTAGCGGGCTCAATATTAGTGGGGGGTGTTTGAGATGAAGGTTCAGGTGGAGCCAGAGATGCTTGGGATGACTCTACAGACGTGGGTAGGATTAAGGTTTCAGCAGAAGGTGGGACTTCAGCAGGGGGTGGAGGAAGGGGCTCTACAGGTGCTTTGACTCCTGGGGAAGGGGTGGATGGAGTTTGAGCTGCAGGCTCTGGAGGGGCTGGAGGAAAGGAGTGAAACTGCACAGGAGGAGGCGGGATGAGCTTAACAGCAGGAGCAGGTTCCACTGTTGGAACTGTGGCTCCCTGAGAAGGAGGAGAAAGAGAAGGAGGTGGTGCTGCGATAACTGTAGGTGGAGGAGGTGACAAGTGTTCCACAGAAGAGGTGGGATCTGGAGAAGCCACTGGTTTTGATGCATGAGCGAGATGCGGCGAGACGACCTCTGGCGACAGCTTCATCCGCTTGATGACTCGGTCTGACAGCTGATGAAAGAAGAATAATAATAACCGTAAGCGCCACCTGCAGACCACAAAGAGCAAATTCAAATGTTTCCCATGCTGGTGCTCTGCTCTCTATCACAGGTTCAAGTCTTGCGTAAGTAATGTGAAGTTTACGCATCACTGCCATTAAACACTGCAGCGTTATTTCATAAGACTCAGCGTGCCACTGAACAAGTGTCCAAAGGAATTTTATATCAAATACATCAGAAAATAGGTCTCCTTGTTTCTTGTAAATATAATTGAAAAGACCTTCAGACTGTCTGACCTTTAATATTTTCTAAGAGAAATTCAGAATAAGAACAAATGAGAAATAATGTTATTTTATTTGTGCTTTTGTCTGTTGAACAGCCACCGGCAATGACATAAATACACATTCAAAATCCAGAGAAGCAACTTTGGTACAGCCTTGCTGCCCTTTGAAAAAGTAACGCTTACTGAGAAAGATGAAAGCATAAATGGTATATAACTTTATTTGTTTAAGAGTGAAGAACCTATCACTTTTATGCAACAATATATTTTCTTAAAAGAGTTCTTATCAAATACCATGACCAAGGCTAGATCAGTGGAGAAGTTTAATGACTTTTAAGAAAATAGAAAGCCCAGCAGTATTGCAGCATTGAAAACAAGCCAATCAATCCAATGATATGTCAAACAAAACAATAACTGACAGTTTTTAAATTGAAATTGTGCTGTTTTTAAAACACAATCTCAAACACCACTGGCTCAAATGATGCTCCAAACCATGACAGAGCCTCCGCCGTGCTTTTACACAGCGGAGGCTCTGTAGACACTTCTCTCCTGACCTCCTCCATAAATTTAAGATTTGAACCTACAACTTCAAATTTAGCTTCATCACTATATAAATTTAGTTGGCCTTGAATTTCAGCCACCCTTCCACTGAGACCATTTCTGATGAAGCTTTAGCAAAAAGTGTCCAATTATAATTATTATTAGGACTTAACTTTCAGATGCTTTTCATCTAATCTGCATAGTTTTTTTAAGCCTGCCACTTCAAAATGAGAGAAAAAGGAAAGAAATGAGAGGCGGCTCAAGACTTTTGCACCGTGCTGTATTTAAGGACCCCAGTGCCTGTATTTAAATCATTCACATTTCTCGGGACTTTTTTGGTGTTATGCTGCCTCCCACTGACAGCACATAACACCAACTAGCAATATTCCTTCTGCATATCTGGACACACTTTAATACAATCTGTAAATACGATCATTCTTGACAAAATCAGAGGCTTGAGCCAGCTCCTACTGGATAATTATATATTTTAGGATCGTTTTTTATTGCGATCAATTCATGCAGTAAAATTTTATTCTTTGAAGCCAGGGATGTCAAACTCATTTTACCCTGTTGGTCACATCCAGCCCACTTTGATTTTAATTGGGGTGAAAATCCCCTCTGTCAGTGTAAAGAAATGTAACTGCACACTTAATCCCTGTGATATCTCAATGTAAGAAAAAGGAAGTGTGTTTTTCTACGTGACAAAGGAACTGTGCTGTAGTTAATAAAAGAAATCTTTGAGCAGGACTATTCTGGCTTAAATTGTAACAAATAAAAGCATAAAAGTACAGAAAGATGTTCTGGCAGGTCATTGCCCAGACCGTCCGGTAATTATAAAGAATAATATTTTTGTTAATTCACAGAAAGTTTCCTATTTTATTTATTTGTTTATTTTACTTTACAGTAGACAGATTAAAAAAGGAATTTCTGTAGTGGATAGTGAGAAAAATAGTAACTTTAGTGTTTTTCATTTAACTATTACTTTATAACTTTGGTGACAAATACAGAGACAAATACTGAATAGCAGTTTCTATCCTGTTTTTCTTATATTACTCTTTTGTAATTATATTTAAACCTTTTCTCTTGACCCCGCAGGGACTTTCACTTAATTTGTTACAATGACAATAAAGATATTCTGATTCCGTGTAGTATGAATGGTGGCTGGGCTGTCTTTATTAGCAGAACAAGCTGTAAAATTTATGAAAATACAGTTCAAAGTCCAAAATAAAAAAAAAGAACAAACTCCAATCCTGTGGGCCAGACTGGCCGGATTCAGGCACGCGGGTCTAATATTTGACACCCCTGATACAAACCAAAGTAAAAGTGCTGTTGTTACACTGTAATGTCACCAATAGAGGTCGATAAAGGTCGCAGATTGAGAATGGCATTATTTACCTGAAATAAAGCTGATTTAATTATAGATATGATGCCGTAAAGAATTAACCCATAGTTTGGATATTACAGGAATTTAAAGACTTTGTGAAGCAGCACTTCTACACGTGTGGGGAATGTAAGGCGAGCATGCACTTTCTATTTTTAACCCCTACACCAGAGGGATGCCGCTGACTTTGTGCGGGGTGATTTTAGCAGACTTTAAAAAATGGAAAGAAAAAAAAAAATTTCAACAAGGGCGTCTGAGACAGGAATGGTAAATGGCCTGTATTTATATAGCGCTTTAGGACCCCAAAGCGCTTTACATATCCAGTCATCCACCCATTCACACACACATTCACACACTGGAATGACAGGAAATCACTGACTTGCACTGATGCGCTGTGCAGCCGTGCGCTATACTGATGGAAACCGCTCTAAACAAGCCTTCACTCACCCGAATGCCCTTCAGAAAAGTAATTCCTCCGCCTTCATCTTCTTCACAGAAGTGACTCGGGCTGTTTCCCCCCATCACTGCCCCTGCTGAAACTACAGCACCCACAGCGTGGACGAGTGCTTAGTGACATGAAACCCAAACAGCTGCCCTTCCCACCACCGACGGGGAATAACATGAGCAGCCATTGGATGGAGTTGAACACCACCCCCCTGGATTGGTCCATTGCGCATTAGTCAGTGAAACGTAAGAGAACAGAGTGTCCCAGCTCTAAACATTCATAAAACTCACTTAAAAAGGAAGCATGCACAGATAAAAACAAAAACAGTCTCAGTCTTCAGTTATGTTCCCACTTTAATTTCAGTCACCAGGGAGTGTAAAGATTTATTGTTGACAAATACACCTGAGACAATATGACAAGGACACGGGGACTTTAATATGCACTGCATAACCTGTCCCCCTATCTAATCACGCAATCTGACTCCAGCAGCTCTTCACACATGAATCGGTGAAGTCCTTAAAATGAACACGAACCTGGAGCAGCTAGAAGCTAAAAAAATAAATATCCAAACAACGTCATAGGCAAAAAAGAAAAGTGGCACTGAATTTGTGTCTGTGAACGCACCATAATGAGGTACTAATGTTAAAACACCTAAGTATGAGAGTATTCGTATTTTTCCTATTGTTAGCAAATCCAAAATAAAGACCAAACTCAGAATCTGTGTAGCCAAAGTATTACAACACAACACTGACCCACACTGTTGCACTGGCTGACAAAGCTCTCACCAGACCCCCAATCACACACTTCGAACAGTACCTACAAAATAAAATATGAACTCGTCCTGATAAAAACAGTCTCCAGCTGTATTCAGAAATGATTTCGTTAAATGACACCGGCTGGAAAAGTGGGACTAAGTGTGAAAATCTGACGTTTTGTCGACACAGCATATACATGCTGCAAACATATTTCTTTCCCCTTCAAATCTATCATTATAATTATAACAGATTAAACACTGAAAACATCTTTACCTAGAGTCTGTCAAGCGGAAACAAGGAATGTTTATGGATTTTGTATGGAAAAAAAAAAAAGACTAATAATCACTCTTCAAGTTTGTGGTAAAATGCTTGACAGGAAGCTCACAGTAGGTCGTTTTTACAACTTTCTGCAATCAAGCACAAGAAAAACAAGTTCTGGGGTAAATGATGGCATGTATCTCTTTGGGCCTGGAGAGAGGGTGAAAACTCTCTGTGGGTTCATCACCATAATCAAGTAGTCACGTGATCAAGTAGTGTAAAAATATTGACTATAGCTGGTTTTAGAGATCTACATCTTCAGTCACAGCGAATGGGCTTGGTGCTTGGAGTCAGAGAGCACAGACAGACAAAACACAGATTCATTCACACGTGGAATTAAAATAAATAAATCCATCATGAATGAGATCTGGCTCAACTGACTCAAAAAGCTCCTAGCAATAAATCTGCGCTGATTTTTAATAATCTGCTGGATTTGATCTGTTCATGGGATTTGCTGACAACAATAAAAATGCAGAACACCACCATCCTTTAAACTGTTCAGGTGGTGTATGACTGAGCACCGTGTAATCAAGTATAAGTCTAAATGACCCTAAAACTGCTGCGGGATAACAACATCACTCTACGTCCAACACGATAACTGATTTTCTGTCCACCGCCAGTCTCTGGTTCGTCACTCTGCCTTCTTCTCTTTGGCGTCGGGTCCCCGTAGAGCCGCCCGCACGCTGCTCCACACCTCCGTGTACAGAAGAGTACCGACGAAGACCACGGCCGTCCCCACCCAGTGCCAGGTGGTGAAGGGGTTTTGGAAATAAATGATGGAGAAGATGAGGCTGAGAAACTTCCTGAGCGTCACCACCAGCGTGACCGTCAGTGAGGCGCACTCGGTGGTCAGGATGAAAACACCACGGATGCAAACGTACCTGAAGAAACGGTTAAAGACTGCAACAAGACTTGAGATACAGAAGACAAAAAACTAATTTCTTCACGTGTTGCTAAGACGGTCTGTGTCAATTGACCTCGTTAGCTAAACCGCCATTTAATTAATGTTATTTTTCACGATCAGCATCACTGGACAGATCAGGCAGGGATTAATCAGTTAATATTGTGATCCCGTGTATAACAGAAATATTCAAACCTAGTTTTGGTAGTAATATAAAATTATTCTGGTAAATTATTGTAGTATTTATTTTAATTAACATTTTTCTATGAAGCCCATAGTGGATTACTAAGGTTTTATTTTACAGCTGATTTATAGTTTAGTTCCATTAATTAATATTAGTTTACAAATATTTAGGAAAACAACTTAAACTTTCATTTTTTTAAAGTAAAAAAATAAGGACCACTCTTTAGTTTTCTCACTTATAATATTACTTTGTGTTACGAACTATTTTAGCAGTTGTTACAGCACGAATTTAGATTCTGGGTCATACTGTTTCTCTTACTGAGACAGCATTATAGTTTACATACATGCTACAAAGGCTGAATCCCCACGAATATTTTCTGAATTTCAAATGAATCAGTATATGTACAAGTAATCTCTGTGAACCATAAGCTCTGGTTTCAGACTGCTCTGAACACACGGCTTTGTATTGTCAAATAAAAAGGATATCACTACCAAAGTTATCTCAGACACGCTTTTGGTTCTAAGCTGAGAGGCCCAACCAGGAACCAGCATAAGAGTTAAGCATTAAAAACAGCGCATAAGCGGCTTTGCCCAAATAACTCTGTTTTATCATTATAAATAATGGCAAAGTCAGTAGTCAAAATTCAGCTGATGCTCAGAAACAATGAAATTTGATGAGTCAGCAACTTAGAGCAAGAGGTGATGTATAAAATTTCCATGATTAAAACCACGCTGTAGTTTTGACTTTTGGTATAAAAATCCAAGCACCTTCTTCCTTTACAGCAGTGCCTTTCATGCCTTTATTTAAACAAAACAAAAGAAAATCCAAACAAGCCTTCATCAGCACAGAGTTGTCAACCCACTCAGGGGAAACATGAGCTGGCCTCTCACAACGAGAGGGTATTACTTCACTGATGTTGTCACAGAAACCGGGCTCAGTGCTGTGAACATGTCCGGATACTTGATCTGTGAGCTCGCCCGAGAAGCGACGCTACCATCTGTGGGACTAAGACCTGCTGACTCCCCCGTGAATCCCGCCCAGACGTGACTAAAACCACAGGGCTGCTGAAGCGAGGGCCACCTCAGATAGATCCTCTGCTGTGGTGTGAAGAGCTGTTTGTGACACCACAGTTTTTAAGTCCAGTAAGAGCGCGATACTTTCAAACTCAACGGCTGTTCATAATGTCAACAGTGGGTTGAATGTGTCTTTAGTGCAAGCTGAGACAAGATTGATCAAACTAAACCGATTTTTTTTTTTTAATATTAGCTTTAATAGCACACACATATGTGAAGTGCTCGACAGTTATCTCTGCCTAAATAGATGATTAAATTCTGCTTGGCACGTGGGTGTAAACATTTCTTTAAAACTGTGTGTGCTTAATGATATGAACATTGTTTTTTGCATCTGATGAAGGTCATTTGGATCGAAATTTGTGATTTAATAAAACAGCAGTAAGCTGAGGTTACAGTTTATATTTTTAGCTGCTGGGGGAAAAAAGCAAGTTATGAACTGTGATATTGTGTTTAGTAGAAAAAGAGAAAAACAGTACAAGCAAACTGCAAAAGTACTTGTTTTCGTAGGATACTGTGTGATGACATTGATCAGCAGGTAGATCCACATTATCGGCACGGTCAGTTCGACCCCAGGAATCAGCGTGGGAGCTGCAAAGAAAGCAATCATTGACACCTGTGATGAAACGCGCACTCTGAAAAAGACTCCCAGAATGAATTGATGGCACTCACTGCTCTGACTGAAGAGGACGCAGTGGTTGTAGATATTTGTAGAGAGAAGCAGGAAGCCCGGCAGAGGCAGGCAGTGCTGCAAAAAGATGCAAAGGAATCATGTTAAAGGATTGCACATTTTAAAACAGCTCCATGAAAACATTTGTGGAGTGAATTCCTGGGCTGTTGGTGCTGGAGGAAAACTCACATTGTAGAAGAGCGCCTCTTTGGAGTGTTTTCCATACTTCTTGTACAGAGTCTCCTGAAAAATGCCCATCCTCGCAGACATCAGCAGGGCAAAGGTCAACATGGCGATACCTGAATGCATCCGTACAACATGTATATGGATTATCAACATGTCATGATCAACATGACTTCCCACCCCTGCAAATGCCTCCAACACACAAAATGATTGGACAGAAACTTGTGACTTACTACTAAACATACACACCGATATTCACATATCTGCAAAAAGCCAGCATCAGCTGCCACTCACCTATAAGCCAATGCATAAAGTTGTAAAAGCCTTGGTCTTCTGAACCCTCATTTGACACATTCTGCAAAATCAGGAGTGCAGTTTATGAGAGCACACTTAAACAAATGCTAAAATGACTCACAGTCAAACTGCAGCAGTACCCAGTGTTCTGCAGAGGACTCACCACTTGTTTGGCAGACATGATGGTGCAGATGAAGATACCTGCAGAAACTAAGGCTATAGACAGATATTTGCTGGCCGAATATCTGCGGAGAGAGAAGAAAAATGTGGGTAGATTCACTACGACTCTTTTCAACTTTTATTTCGATTTGAAAGCTTCCTCTTTTCAATAGCTTCAACTACACAGCTGAAAAAAGTGAATAAAATTTGCATTTTTAAGCCCCGAGATGAGCATTTTCATTGTCGCCACCTTGGTTGAAAACTTGGCTGGGACAAGGAAGGGAGGAAAGCTGACTCATTAACCAATGAGCGGATAATTCTCCGTTCCTAAACATAATGTAACCAAGATTTACAAAATAGAATGTATTTGTTACTGAATATAACCAAAACCGAGTGACCGAGAGGGGGAACACAGACAGCTTTTCCTCCCATAGACTTCTATAGTATGGAAGTATCTTTGCAACCTAAGCAAGCGTCATCTGGTGGCCTTCAGATATAATGCAGGTGTTTCCACAATAGCTTCCTTTGCTATGTCCATCTTTAAAACTATCAATGTATAAAATATAATGATGGGTACTGTAGACAGCACCACTACAAACTTTCAAGACAATGAAGATGAATGTGTAAATCAGACTGTCGTAGTAAACCTGCTCCAACAGGATCTGGTGAAGATGATTTTATTTCTATAAAACAGCCAAATTTGTGGAACACGGGATTGTCTTTGTGAAATATGAATGAATCAGTTCAGATGCAGGGATTTTTGCAACTGTCTGTCCACGGAATAAAATCCTGATCATTATAATCTGTCAGCAAAAAATTGATCCTATTAGCATTTAATCAAAGTGTGTGGTCATTAAGTACACTCCATGAAGCGTTCTAGTTGCTAAATTTACAAAGTCAAAAACATAGTGGGGAAACGTTGTGTATGTTGTTGGGGGATGCTGGGTACCTTTTCTTCAGGATGATTATTCCCAGGATCATGTTAGCGATTAGTGATCCCTACAGAGAAACAAGAAAACAGTTCAGAGATCAGGCTTTGGTGAAGGAAGTGATGGTCAGTGATAACAGGAAACATTCAAGAGTCATAGTGTGAAACTTACTGATCTAAAGATCATGTGTAGAGGCATGGCGATGTTGAAGTTGAGAGCGTAGTTGTTGATCACACTGACAGTGAAGAACATGGTCACCATGATCACATAGTTACTGAAAAAAATAAATAAATAATGGACAATGTGATTCAGTGTCAGCTTTAAAAAGTCACCAGCTGAAAAATATTCACATCAATCTTTTTTGTTAATAAATTATTTAATTTTCACCTAATAGGTATTGCTGGTTTCTTGCGTCCAAAGTTTGTTTCAAAGATGAAACCTTCCAATGCGATGAAGACAAACTGAGCAAAGGTGACTATGTTGCCACATCCTGGAAAATCTCTATGAAAAAAAAAAGAAAAAGAGCCAAGAGTTAATTAATAATGCATCATTTAATGCTAACGACAGACATTTCAAAAATGAATACACTGGAAAAAAAAAGAAAAAGAAAAGAACAGAGCAATATATGTATAACTTTTTCTCTAATCTACATACCCACTTAGTATAATTGAATGGCATTATGTAACTGTAATGAAAATAAAAACTAGCTTCAGAATAAATGTGCTAAAAGAAAATAAAGATAGAAGTAAATCTTTAGTTTTAGTCTTTGGTAATGTGACCCAATCTATGGATACTATACCATGAGCAGGCTTTTGCATGGATGTTTCTAGACATAGGGATATCTACATGAATATGAGCCAGGTGCCTGCACAAGTGCTGTGATTATTTATTCAGAAATTCTTAAATTTACAGTCAGATTTACACCCAGCCTCACCTGTATGGACGCACAACTTTCACGGGTAAGGAAGGGGGGATAAAAACAAACAACTAAAACAAGGTGCTGACAGACACCCCAAATATGGGTGTGTATAGTATTGACACTGTGCATACACATAGTCACCTGACACTTTATTTGGAATACCTGCTCAGCTCTTGTTAAATAAATTATCTCATCAGCCAATCATAGGCACCTTGTTAAATCTGTTGCCAGGGAGAATTAAACAGTTCTGAAGGCAAAAGGTCCAAACTTGGACCAAATAAGTGTGCAGTAAAAGTATTTCCATAGAATGTCACTAACTACAGGAAACCACTCTCTTACTTTCACTTCAGTAACACTGACCAACAGCTGATAACACAGAAACACCGAATAACCACAGAAGCACAAAGTACATGTCAAAAGACTGAACTCCTTCCAGCATAAACTCGTAATGCAAGTGATTATGACACACAGTGATACTGCTCTGCTACATATACTGCACGCAGCGTAGCCAGTTTTCTCGTTAACACCATCCATTAACTACGTGAGGTCAGGAGTAACTTAAAAAACGTCTTGATCAAGTATGATTTAAGAAGCAAAAACCGTTGAAAACGACAGTTAAAATTATTCAGGAGGAGAAGGGTAGCTTAGTAACACTCAGACACTTAGACAAACATGCAAACGAGACTTCACTTCCTGTATGAATTCAGTGAAAACACCTGTGCAACGAGGAATCTAAAAACAAACTGTTCACACAAACGTTTGTGAAGTAAAGTCTTCATGAGTCATTGGTGTAGACACGGTGTAAGTTTCTCACTGACCTCACAAGCAGCTCCAGAAACACCACATTGCTACAACAGCCGACAAAAACAAGAACAACGGCAAACACGGGCCCCATGGTGTTCACGGCGGGAAAAACTCGGTGGAAGATGTGTCACTTAATCAAACGGGACAATGAACGGAGCATGTTTGCATTACGGCAGCGGTTTGTGTGTCCGACTTCTTGTGCTTTCACACAAACTCCGGTTTCAGCTGAACACGTCTGAATCCGAGATTTCGCTCTTCCTTGTTCCAGGTGCTTCATGGGAGTTGTAGTTTATTTAAAAAATAGGAAAAGGGGTTTCCCGTGTGCGTAATATTTATAGTTTCATGTAACACATTACGAGTTAAAAAAAACGTATTTTACAGGAAGCAACACTACATGTGAATATTAGAGAAAAATGTAACAAACGAATGAATAAATATGCGTTCAGCGTAATCACGGTCCAGCTCTGACGACACGCATGCGCAGCTCATTACAGACTGAAAAATAATGAGATATCACTCTGCCTCATTTTATAGGTACATGAAGCCACGCAAGGCTGTTGGAGCAGGGGAGCTGCTCACTATGAACTATGATCGTGCAAATTTTGGTATCGATTTGATACCAAGTAAATACAGGAAGATTATTACTGATACTATTACTTTTAATCTATGAAGGGAGCTTATATAGGGAAGAGCAGGGTGCTGGGATTTATGACATGAATCATCATCCATTTGCAAATTTTGAAAAGATTTAAATCACTGTGGTTTTACTTTCCATAATAAAAAGTCAACACAATCAGCGTTTCATGGATTTTAACAATGACCTTTTTGGAGAGCTGGAATGTAAATATGCCTGTCTCTGACGGACTTTGTTTTTAAATATGTTATAGGCTATAGATAAAATAGATATGACAGTCAAGCCAAAAAAGGTTCAGACATTTTTCTTTTTCCAAATGTTTTAATTAAAAAAAAATAACACAATTCAATGATCTACATACTAAACTTGAGGGATAAAAATAAAGTACTGATTATTTCGCGCTAGCATCGATCCAATATCAATAACATTTACAATTTGAAACATCTAATAATTATCTGATATGACACCTTATATATTTTTGGACTACAGATGTCTTACAGTTAAATGATTACAACAGCCAAATAAATCAAATTAATAAGACCAAAGGATAACAAGTACTTTTTTTCTAAACGTGCACACACAGACAGCAAAATTGGCAGAGTGTGTGTTGGATCAGTGAGTGTCATCATAGACGATCTTTGCTGGCGTGCGCGTATACGTGGCTCCGGCTGACGTGGTTGCGTAATGAACCGCTACCTTTGCCTCCACTGCTGCTACTGCCGCTTGTAGCATCAACACTTTGGCTACGCTGCTTTCGTAAAGCTGCCAGTTTGAGTCGTTGCGACTTCTTGGTGATTGGACAGAGTTTTCAGCGGATACCAAAATGATTTCGCTCACGGATTCACAAAGTAAGAGCCGCTTCTGTTTCTATGCTGTTCTTTGTCTTTCTAGTGTTTCTGTGCGAAACCGGGTTTAGCTGAATGTACGAGGCCAGCAGCTCAAACACGATTGGCTGAGAGCAACGCTACGTCACCACGTGAAGTAGCTGTAAAGGGGAACTGTTTTTTTTTCTTTTTCACTTGTTTCTTGTTTTTAAAAAAACAAAAACGTATATCGAGCACGGCCGAAGTGTAAACCAACGAGGTTAGCGTATGTGCACGAGTCATTTAACTGCTTGTTTTGTTGTTGTTGTTTTTTTACACTTGGCTGTGTGATGTCAGCACAGAAGTCCCACCTACCTGCTGTTCAAACCTTCTGTCTGCAAAGGGCAGCCAATAATAAGAAAGCTTGCTTAAAGCTGGCTAATCCAGAGTCCCACTGTAAGAAAAACAAGGCTTATTTTGGACTGGATCATGCAAAGCTGCCTTGTAATAAAATGTGAAGCTGGAAATGAATATGAATACCCCCCTTAATGAATAGTCATTCTGCATTTCTTTAATAAAATTGAAATCTATGTAAACCAAAGTAGATCATGCGACTTATTAATAACTTCTTTCTTTTTCTTGATGTCTGCAGAGATTGGGATGGGACTGACGGGGTTTGGTGTGTTTTTCCTCTTCTTTGGGATGATGCTGTTTTTTGATAAAGCTCTCCTTGCCATTGGAAATGTGAGTTGATGGTTTTTGGGTTCATTGATATATCAGAGTAGTACCTGTTTTGTTGATTGCCATTTGGCTGTTGGTCCATATGATCACATTTGCTGATGTGAGTGGAAGTTGATCTTTTCTTTGCTGCTCTAGAGCAGGGCAGTAAAAAGGAAACAGATGTTAAAAATGAATGTTTATATTGGGTAAATTATTAGATTAAAAATTGCTGCGAGCACAGAACCTACCTAGTAATTATAACACAGTGTGAAAGTCAACCCTATATAACCTAAAAGATGTTGGACTCGTGACATGTTGTTTCCTGTGCAGATTCTGTTTGTCTCCGGACTGTCGTTCGTCATCGGCCTCGAGCGTACCTTCAGGTTTTTCTTCCAGAGGCACAAACTAAAAGCCACCAGCTTCTTCCTGGGAGGAGTGTTGGTGGTTCTGCTTGGCTGGCCGATTGTTGGGGTTGTTCTGGAGATCTACGGTTTCTTCCTCTTATTCAGGTCAGCTCAGTCAGAAAGGGCTGAACTCCTTTTCCTCTTCTTCCTCTTTTGGCTGCTCCCTATCAGGGGTTGCCACGGTGGATCATCTACCCGAATCTCTCCCTATACCTAACGTCCTTTGTCACCTCAATCCCTCTGCATGTCCTCCTTCACTATATCCATGAACCTCCTCTGCCGTCTTCCTTCTTTCCTCCTGCCTGGCACCTCCATATTCAACACTGTCCACTATCTCTCCTCTGCACATGTCCAAAACAATTTCCAAGTCTCATTTTATTCTTGCACTCGTTAACAGGGGATTCTTCCCGGTGGCAGTCGGATTCATCAGACGAGTGCCTGTGCTCGGGTCTTTGCTCAGCTTACCGGGGATCAGTGCGGTAAGTGTCACTCTCGGGCACTTTAACCTTAATAAGGGTCACTAATCACAAATATTGTTTAGCTTTATAAGGCTTTCAATGACATTTGTCTGCAGGACTAACAGTAAATAAACACTGTCTGAATTTGATGAAACTTTGTGGAGAGGAAGATTCCACTAATCTTTGATGCAGTAATAATAAAAGTTGGTCATGGTGGAGAAGGTGCTCTCTGAGTGCACCTGCAGTTTTCTTTTATGCAAGCCTCTCTGGTTGCAGTAAGAAGTCAGATTCTATAGAAGTGCATGAGAAAATGGCTTCTGGCTCTCCTGCTTAGGTTATGGTCTCAGTTGCTACTTTCAGGTTACATTAAATACAACATGATGTCCACTGTGTACATAAGATTCCAGCTGTAGTTGAAATAGCAGGGTACGCCATCTACATTGTGGCTGAGTCACTCAGACTCATGGTCTGATCCGCACCTTGCATCTATTTAAGCTCAAGGCCTGGAAGCAGAATTTTGCTAATCAAAGGGTGTCACGGTGGCCGCCTCCATCTTTTAAATACAGTCTTTGGCAGACATGGAAAAATCTGGTATTTGCAGCCCGTTGTCTAAAAAGTCATGCAAGTATAATTATACGAATACTAAACTATCTTGTTTCATTTGTGCTAAACAAAATTCAGTTTACCACTATATATGACTAAAATACACCATTTAAAATCTTGCATTTGAGAAGCTGGAACCAGGGATTTGTTTTCTTTATTCGTATTTGAATAATGTTAAGTGCAAACAATTGATTATCAAAATATTTGGGGATTAGTTCTCTAAGCTAAACATGAACTTTTTCCATTAGATGATACAAATGGCATTTACGGCAAAAAGCAGCTGAAAGTTTTTAAAGAAGCTGATATTACTTTGTTGATCTATGTGGGCCTTAAAGATTTTTAGCTGAGGAAGGTTTTTTAGATGAGAGGGCTCTGGTCTTTCTCTCATCTAGTCTAATAACAGGGTCCCTGTTGTCCTGAGCACGACCTCATGGGATTCCCCGCTCAGTCTCGTGTCTTTGAAGCCTTTTGTAGCTTCTTGGAAACCGTCAGCGTCCAGGATCAGTTAATTCTGCCGTGGTCGCTAATATTTTACAGCTGTTTACCAATATAAAAACCTCACTGCATTATCAACATCATCATCCTTGCATGTTCTGCTTCATACATGTTATTTTAAATCATCCTTCGCATAACAACTCGTAAATAATTCTGCCCTTTTTCATGTTTTATTTCAGCTGGTGGACAAAATTGGTGAGAGCAACACGATGGTATAACAAAGAGGACAGTTTCAGCGTTTCTTACCGTCTCATGGTGACTGTATATTTTGACCATTGCCATTCCAGAGCTGTGAATCCAAACATTACTCTGCACAAAAGACACACGCATCTGTGGATGTCTGACTGACTGTACATTTAATTCTATTAGAGGGAAACTGTTTCTATCTGACTGCTACTGGAAAACATTACCAAGAGATCTTTTTTTTTAAGGCTGAAAGCAGTTTCTCTTTTATGTCATTCCACTCTGATATTTATGGACTGATAATCTGGGACCACTGGATTAACTCGGAGGACAGTGACAGCATCTGTGTGCCTGAACAGACACTGAGGGCCTTTTTTTTCCCCTCCATGAAGAGTTAGTGGAATTTTATACTTTAAAAAAATGTGCGGTTGAGCTAAATGTGGCAGAAATGTAAAAACAGTTTATATTGTCCTGGATGGAGATGTTTAACTGTAACTTTTCTAAGCGCTTGAAATAAAGTGTGCATTTTATAAATTTTGTTTTGTAGCGTAAGTAATTTAGATGTCCCAGATCTTACCTGCGTTTTGGGTAATAACAGTATGATTTGCTAAAAGAAGCCCAGCTCCATCTTCTATTCAGGGACTCTACTAGAAGAGCTTTACATGGTTCACCCATACTGGGCCTTGGTGAAGCTCCTCTAATGCACATGTCCTCTGAAACAAGCTGTTTTACCCTTTAATGCACAGGTGTTCAACTTCAGTCCTCGATGGCCGGTGTCCTGAAACTTTTCCATGTGTCCCTCTGCAGCACACCTGAATAAAATCAGTAGGTCATTAGACTTTATCGAACTTGACTGATGCTGAGGTGGCAATTCATCCATTTGATTCATGTTACAGCAGCTCATGACTAAATTAACATGGTACAATAAAAGTACTTTTATTTTCTTCCAAAAACTTATATTTACTTACATTTATTTAAACTTCAGTATGGTTAGGTGTTGCCACCTGAGCATGTAGTCAAGTCTTGCTAATGACCTACTAATTTTATTCAGGTTGTTGCAGCAGGGACATATTTAGAAGAAGGAAGAAGGTGGTTGGAGACTGTATGATCGTGTGTAGTAAACTAATCTCATTGTCTTGGTTGCTTCAGAGGCAGGGACCAAGTCTGCAATCACTTGTAGTCAGTTGCTGGATTCAAAGGTGGCAATACAACAGCATTAAATGGATTCAGTCTGCTATCAGTGTACGATTGAATGTGCTCAAGTTGGCATCCACATGCAATCTGTTTGTGATAATACGGTGGTTATACTCAATAATATATATAAGATTTACTAGCATAAATTTACAAATTTGTTGCCATGTATATAAACAGAAGTCTAAACCATTTAGATTCAGAGTCCAGCTGAAAACTCATTGATTTGAAACAAATTCATCCAAAAACAGTGACGGTGTTGTTACAGGACAGGGATTTAACTATATAAGCAGCTGGAAACCAGTTGAGTCCTGTTACAGAGAGGCGTGTTGCAGATGAGTTGCGCTGATTGGCACAGACTGACTTGTTTAGATTGCAGTGTGTTGGCACTCTGCGTTTTTAATTGGTCGGCATTGTAAATATTCACCAATCTGCGTGAGAGTGATTGCAGTTAGTCCGAGTGGCCCGCAATTGTCTGCAGACAGGTTGCCTCCCAACAGGCGACCTGTGCGGTCACTTTGTGATTCAAAGTGGTCACTCACTGGTTGAGGGTGCTGTACGGTCAACTTCTGATGGAAAGGTTGGTCATCAAACTGGTGTTTACTCTGATGAGTCTTAAGCCAGCTTTATATGACAACGTCAACCACTGTGAAATGATAATACGTTCCCTTTAAGCATTCACATATCAGAGATGAGATTTATAATTCAAAACTAATTAACTGTTATACACAGTGTGTACAGGTCATAAACACAGAGATTTATGTATGTGTGAAATTTCTAAAACAGCTGAAACAAAAGTAATAAATTCAAGGTCCTCATGTCATCCAATGTCCTTCATGCTTTCAGCTGATCCAGGCTTCTGCTCCTCATGTCAAACCCACATTCTCAAACTTTGATACAAATCCATCATCTTCAAGCAAATGCACTGCGTTCATAATAAAAGTGGAAGAAAAACTAATGATGGGTTACTTAAATATTTTTGCTAGAGCCCTTGGTAGAACAAACACATTTAATTTAACTACACTTATATTTGCCTTTGAAATAAACACATTCATTGCCATGTTGTGATAGTAAAGGCCTAAATGTCTCTTAGAAAATGTTTGAGAGGTTAAAATGTATTAGTATGTGTATATTTTTAGCTCACCTGGCTGAAGGACCAATGCACTTAAGCCACGGCAAGACTTAAGTTCATCCATAGTTCACATTAATACAGTGCTGGTCTTATTTTAGCAAAGACCACCATTCACTTTAGTTTTATTACATAGCTGCAGTTCAAAACAACAGTCGCCCCAAGGCTTTATATTAAAGAGACAAAGACCCTGCAATATTACCAAGACACTTGAACAATCATATGACTCCGCCCCCTATGAGCAAGTAGTGCTCCTCACAATGATGACTGCAATTTGGGAGAAGACCTACTGAAGTCATGGATATGGACAAATCAGTTGTAGCCAATAAAATAGATTTACAGATTACACAGGGCTCTTGAAGGACTAGAATTGTCTTATTCTGGCATCTGCACCTGCCACCTCACTGCTCACCGCATCAACTTCATTCATAAAATCTCACCGGCGTTGTCGTCCTGCAGTGACCCTGTGAAAATACTCTGCTGCTCGCAAGACTTAAAAGTTTGAGTGTCTCTCATGCGTCTGCGATTAATGTGCAGCGACATCTTTAACAGCACCGTCAGCTGAAGAAGTAGGTGTGAAGTGATTAAGACACCTGTCAGCGTCATCAGTTGTTTTTTTCTTACAAACGATGTGACTGCACTGACAGGGAAACATTAAACATTTAAACCAGCTGCAACCTGCAGGAGAGCACAACGCTTAAAGTAAAAGGTAAGATATCCCTCTTCTTAGTTATATATAATATTTTAATTTTCTTAAATGTGAAAAAATTAAGTAAATTAAACTTTTACTTTCTAAGTCTACCTTTTACTATTTATGAGCAAAATAAAATTTGTTTATAACACAATGCAGCATAATAAATCATAAAGCTAATAAAGCACAGACAGAAAACGTAACTATTGTCATTCAGTAGTAGTTAGTATAGTGAGGTGTTAGTACAATACAACAGCTCACAATTGTGTGTACAGGAGAAGTTTACTTGCTAAAAATACACGGGCAATTTCTTATATAACAAATCTTAGAGATTTATTATAGTGTGTTTACATTAGTAACATGTAAGAAAGTCAGAATGCTATAAATTGAAGTAAAATACAACACTATTAATGAAAATATGCTACAAATACTGTTATTATAAATACATTTTAACTGTATAATGTACACAAACCGCAACTTACTGGTGTCCATCTGTAAATTTACTTGAAGGTAGTGGCTGTAATTTAATTTAAAGTAAATTTACTGTAATAAAAATGACAGAAAATGTAATTTACTGTAAAGTTACTGCAAACATTTTACTGTAAATTACTGGCATCTAGATGCCGATGAGGTGCTTTAAAATGTGTTTACAGTGAGTTTACATCTAAACACAGAGAAATAGATCTGTGCTGGATGACTGTAATTAAACGTATACTTCTCAGAAAAACATTTTTTTCCCCTCTTGTTCTGTTGCAGAGTTCAACAATGTCTCTACTAGTCACGCTGCTTTTGCTGTCGCTGGTTTCTCAGTGTTGGACTGCTCCACAGGTTAGTCGGTATTTTTCTTTTGTCATGTTTAACCCTGATCAGCCTGAGCTGGAACAGAATTTTCTTTTCCCTTTTCAGAGGAGAAACTGGACTTCTCAGGCGATCCTATACCTGAAAGGAGCACGTAAGAACGCACTGACGGCAGCAAACAGTCACCCAGATTTTAGACTTCTATCAGATCAAAACAATATTGTGTGCTGATCTTTTACAGAGGGACGCCGCTCATTTTTGGAGCGTGCCAGAAGAGAGGAAGAAAGCACTTTTCACTCAGGTGTGAATACATGATGCAGCTCGAGTAGTGTAATCGGATAAACAAGTAAATATTCTGTGTAAGCTGACTAGTATTGTATTTGGCTCTTAGGAGCCTGTATTCATTTGTAATAAATCATCCTTTGGAATAAGTTTGTACTTAATATTGTGGTAACTTTTTGTTTTAGTTTGTTTTTACTCACATTTATTGTATTTGTTAGTTTTTTTAATGATTTACTTGATTTTATTCATTTTATTGATCTTGTTTGTTTTACACTAACTTGTAAAGCACTATGGTCGAGCTTGTTGGTTTTAAATGTACTCTAGAAATAAGGCTGATATTGTGATTTTGAACTGGTTACATTTTCTGAAACATTTACTAATGTTTCAGAAATCAGTCATTAATGAGAGCTTCTTCTTCTTCTTCTTCTTTTTAATCCTAGGCAGTTTTAAGAGTTTGTTAAATTTTTTAGTTTGCAGGTATTTTATTTCCATCAGAGTAAAAACTCCATGAATAAATTATTTTGCTATCATGTTTGAAGTGATGGCTTATTACCAGAGTTAGAAATCATAATAAATATTACATTTTGTTATGTTTACTTATTAATTTTGTGTTCCTTGTTTTAACCCTTTAAAGCCTGAACAATGAAATAATTACCAGAAAATTCATTTTTTTTAAAAAACAGAGTGTATTGTGGAATTTATTTAGATTTTAGACAATCCCCACTGATGATGTAGAAGTCTCAAAAACTGTATGTGTCAAATATGATACACGAGGCGTTAAGAGGGTGAAGTGCCACATATGTGATTTCATCAGCCTGGTCCTGGGTGTTTATTTCCAAGGGTTTCATACGGAAGATAAAAAAGAGGAAATCTTAGTCTCCTCTTCACACAGCTATATTTGTATTTTGTTGGTTGCACAGTTTTTTGTTTCTTTTCCAAATACTGCCATTTCTGCTCTGATTCTCTGCAGGGACTCACAGGCAGAACAGCGATGGCCGAGGCTCTTCTTTGCTTTTATCCATTTTACTGGAACTCCTACAGCGAGCTGTAGAAGAAGGTAAAACCTTGGAATTCATCACCACCAACACCCTGACTTACCAGATCCTCCTGAACTGCTTTAAGATTATTTATGGCTCTTTTTTTTTAAATCCTCAGATGCAGGCAATCCAGATAATCACCTGGACTATCAGGAGGTGAATAGAACCCACTTGTGAACATTCATCAGAGCCCAGTTCTATGTTTTTCTGTTTCTTATGTTGCTTGTTACATTTTATTGTTATTGTTGATGTTTGTCTGCGTGTCGCAAATTTGACTTAACTTATAATAAAATGCGCAAAATAAATGAAAATGTCCGTCTGCAAGATGTTAGAGTCTGATTTATGCGTGAGTTTCTCTTCATTTGACTGTCATCATGTGCAGTTTGGTGGTGTGACACATGGATGGATTTCCATTTACACTCATCCTTGTCAACTTATTAAAACAATTACGCCAGTCACTCATTCACACCATGAAGTGATTAACACCAGGATGACAAACTATCAGTCACTCATCATCGCGCCGTCTTCACAGCGGTCACTGAGAGAGCCGTGTCGGAGGTAGACGATCGGGATCAGACAGAGTTCATCGACTAATACATTCCAGTAAAATCACCATGAGCTTCCAGCAGGGTTTTAGGATTTATTTTATTGAACCATGTTGTTAGATCATAGGCCACATGTAACACTCTGCTCTTCACTTTCAGCAAAAGAGAAAGCCCATGTTCACAGATTTCTATCACGCTACATAAATAGCCAACACTGAAGAACTGAAACACTGCACTTATTGCTTTAAGCCCCTGCTTCTTTTATTAGTTGCCAAAGCAACATGAAACGTGGTCCCACAGTGCAACACAGCAAAGGACAAATGAGTCAGAGCATCTCACTCATTATTGGGGTCACCTTTTGGTCTCCAGCGAGCAGAAGTGCACAAACTGACCCCTACGGCTAAATCTGGCTGGATGAAACCCCTCCAAAAATCTGGGAATCTACATAGTGCAGTAGGCTGAAGGTGCAGAGGGGCAAAGCTTTCTGGTGTGACCGTGGAGTGATGCTGAAGGTCATGAGTAGTCAGGAAGGTGTAGCTATTAGCTTCCCCTGCGGGCAGGTTAGACATCCTGCAAGTCCTTCTGGATGTCCCAGAGTGTGTTAGCGCTGGCCTGCAGCTGGGCCACCTCTTCATCTGTCAGGGTCATGTTGATCACGCTAGCCACACCCCCGCTGTTCAGCACGCAGGGCAGACTCAGATAGACCTCGTCACTGATCCCGTACATGCCCTGTTAATGACAAAGCACACTGTCTTTATGTGGAAGGGCTTAGCGTCATAACAAAGACTTGCTATAGAGGTCTAAAGAGGGGAACTATAGGGAAAGCAATTGTTTTTTAAATATTAAAATATGACATTACTGTGTATAGAACAGGGGTGTCGAATTCCAGGCCTCGAGGGCTGGTGTCCTGCAGGTTTTAGATATCACCCTGGGTCAACACACCTGAATCACATGACTAGTTCATTACCAGGTCTCTGGAGAACTTCAAGACATGTTGAGTAGGTCATTTGGCATTTAAATCAGCTGTGTTGGCTCAAGGACCCATCTAAAACCTGCAGGACACCAGCCCTCGAGGCCTGCAGTTCGACACCGCTGATCTAGTGCATCTACACATCATGAAATATATTACATATGTACTCGCACAAGCTCAAAGGGGGTGGAGTTGAAATCTGAACACCCAACGTGGAGCTTGAGCCCACGACCCTGAGATCAACAGTCTTATGCTCTAGCCCAGGGGTGGGGAACTCCGGGCCTCAAGGACCGGTGTCCTGCATGTTTTAGATGTGTCCGTGATCCAACACAGCTGATTTAAATGGTTAAATTATGAGGCCTAGTAATGAACTTATCATTTGATTCATGTGTGTTGACCCAGGGTGAGATCTAAAACCTGCAGGACACAGGCCCTTGAGGCCTGGAGTTCCCCACCCTTGCTCTGGTGACTGAGGTTGCCGGGCTTCAACTCTAGAGAACGTGTCGACTGAACCTGCAAATGTTCTGCGTTTTTCCTTGAAACTTGCCTTTTGGAAATATATAATGATTATCCAAACAGATGATTACATCTGATGATTCTTTTTTGGCTTAGTGTTTCACTCTTACTATCAGAAAAGTGGCTTGGAAAAAAAAGAGCTTTATTTAACACAACTGGTAATTACACTCACACTTTATACATTTTGGATTCAAAATTCTAGTTAAAGTTATATTTTAAAGAATACTGGGAAATTCTTTAACGAGTACATGAACATGAGCGTCTGTTACCTCCACCATGGTGGAGACGGGATGAATCCTGTTCATGTTCCTTATGAGACTCTCTGTCAGGTCGGCTACGCTGAGACCGATGGCCCAGTTGGTGTAGCCTTTCAGTTTGATCACCTCATAGGCACTAAGAGATGTAAAACAAACAAACAAACAAACAAAAACATGTCTAAAGTGTCTAAAATCATGAAAATTCACCGAGATTGATTAAGACAGCGACAGGTAACAGCTAAGGTAGCGATAGGTGATACGTCTGTGTCGTGTCTAAACGGTCAGCCATTGTATTGTGACGTGGTGTTGACTCGGTAAAGATGAGATCTACACTCATCTACACAATATTTTAAACTAGCTGATGTTGATCCAGCATGAAAGAAAGAGAGACTTTTAGCCTGAAGAATTTCAGAATTGAAGAGAAAGTTTGCAGATGAGCTTCCATGTTGGCCTTAGTTTGAAATCTGACCCATGTCAGGGTTTCCGACCAATAAGGTGCAGCTCTTTGCTGACAGTGCACATGTCCAGCATTGACTGTGACTGTGTTATCAACTTGCCCATCAGTGAACAGAGATATCGGCTCACCACTAGCAGGCGAATTTAAAAAGATCATACTTTAAAATATTGTATCCATAAACTAGATTTAAGCGACCTCCAGCCTACCTGTCCACCACCTTCTTGTGAGTCTCTTTCCAGTTCTCGTCGTCGCTGTCAGTGCCGATATCAGGGTTTAACGTCTGCAGGCTGACTCCAGCCACGTTTGTTCCACTCCACACAGGCACTGTAACACATCTGGAAACCATCAACCTTCATGCACGTACACACCATACACAGTTATTGCCTACAGCATCCTCACCACTTGTGTCTCCATGCTCTCCCAGGATCCATCCGTTGAAGCTGCTCGGGTGGATTCCCAGTTTGTCAGCCATCAGGAAACGGAAGCGTGCCGAGTCCAAGTTGGTGCCGCTGCCGATGACACGGTGCTTTGGAAGCCCGCTCAGTTTCCAGGTCACATAAGTCAGTATATCGACTGTCAGAGAGAGGGAGAGATTTATAGTGTTAAAAGGTGAATACTGCAAGATTTCATGTCTGAGGACGTAAATAAAGAAGAGCTGTGTGGTTGGCTGAACCTGGATTGGAAACAACAATGATGACGCAGTCAGGGCTGTATCTGACAATCTGGGGGACGATGTGCTTAAAGATGTTGACGTTTCTCTGAACGAGGTTCAGCCTGCTCTCCCCCTCCTGCTGACGGACTCCGGCGGTCACCACGACGATGCGGGAGTTAGCTGTAACCGAATAGTCTGAAATACAAATTTTAAAAAACAGATCAGTTTGGGTTCACATTCTCCTTCAAACCTTTGCAAAGGTGGGAAATTAAATTTAAACAGCTCCATAGTGAGCTGCACCCTGTAAATACTTTTTAAAGAGTTTTAATTAAAACTAAGGCTGCTTTATGAGATTGAGATCCTGTGTGTTTGCATGTGTGTGTGTGTGTTTGTCTGCGATATGAACTCGCCTTTATCTGCAACTATTTTGGGGGTTTTGAGGAAGAGGCTGCCATGCTGCAGGTCCATCATCTCTCCTTTCAGCTTATCCTCCACCACATCCACCAGCGCCAGCTCATCAGCCAGCTCCTGCACATATCAGACAAGGTCAAACCGATCCATAGTACAGTTTGCTTGTTGCCATTAGAACTAGTTGAAAAAAGAACATAATAGAGAGCTTCAAGTTAGTCTGTTTTAAGCCTAATGGCTTAAATAATTGTTTTATGATGTATGATTCAGTCCAACGGTGAAACGGGTTATCTAATTTAAGTGAATGAAAATAAAACCTGAACAGCTTTAGGAGAACTCCACTGTAATTCTTCCTTTTTGATTACAAATACATGTTTCCTTGTTAACAAGTGCAGTAAAGGGATAACGGTCAGATCAGACACCAAGAGATCAGTAATCTCGTGGCAATCTTGGAAGAGCCTGAGTATGATCCCATCTCGTGACCCCAGCAGGCAGCGTGGTAATCTGAGAGGCAGAACCAGTGAGACTCTTACCCTGAGTAGGATGCTGAGAGCGCAGGCCATGCCAACCTGGCCCACACCCACTACTGTAACTTTATTCCTCGGAGGCTCAGGTGGACCACTGAACAGCGGTGTGATCAGTTTCTGCAGGACTGAAGCCATTTTCAGTGCTGAGACGTGTAAATGAAAGAAGAAAGGGATGAGCGTTTAGGGTCAGGTGAAGCAGCAAAGCATTTTACACAGACACGACAGTAGCCAATGGTCCTGCGTGCAGCCTCGCATGCACACAACTCATAAATAAGTCAGAGTGCAGAGGGATTTCTAACGCAAGCCTGACATACAGTGTCATAGAAGAAAACCACTTCTCAGACACTTTGATCATTTACAGCAGTTTTCTCTTTTTTGAAATGGAACTGAAGGCAAAGGAAGGAGGGCAGGAAAAAGAAAAGGCTTCAAGGACAACTAGAGAGTGCATTATTTCCCTTTCTAGCAGGTATGAAGAAGGCGATCTGCTCTCAGACAGAAACGTATTAGGTCCTGTCTCACGCGTTCTCTATTTGCAGAGAGTTCACCTTGAAATGACATATGGCCAGACACAAAAACACCAGCAATACTTGCATTGTCCGATGAAGCTCCGAGCTGCAAGGTATAAATACCACCATGTAATCAGCATGGCCACCTGGATGGATGACTAAGTCGTGTTCCTACAGAGCTCTGTCCCCCCTCCTGCATCCACAACACCTCCCTGAGTCACAGTTTTTGCAATGCAGTCGGTCCAGGCAAGTATCCGCTCAGCTGCAGCAGTCCCACAGAGCTCATGTGACTCAGGGTTAGATGGAGGAGCTGTCAGCTGCACAGAGCTCCGCTCCTCGCCTCCCTCCCTCCTTCCCAAACGAGGAGGACGTAGCAGTATAATCGGATGCCAAACTTGATTGACTGACTGCAGACTGTTAAAGGAGTTACTGTAATCCCTTAACGCTGCTTCCATCTGCTACACCTCACCTCTAATGGGAGGTCTCAAAAGAACAGCTGATTTCTATTTAAAAGGCTTGATAATTTATTCTAAATGAATGAAGGGACCTGCTTTATGTCTCTCTAAGCACAGTTTAAAACACTGGCCTGTAATGAATCTGAAATGATGCTGTTGTTAAACAACCATCAGATACGTTTAGAAATAATTAGATTAAAACCATGCACTGCAAATTGCAAATAATGTAAAGCAAGGGGCACTTATGCTTGAAGAGACAGACATTAACATCCCTGTGCGTCTCTA